TGCGCGCAATTTTAAAGCTTGACATGTTTGGTGTCTATTGACCCGATCTTTTATATTTTACCAAAAAACTGGTTAATAATAAATGTTTCCTAACATAATGTAAAAAAAAACTTTTTTTTTCAAAATTTTCTGTAATTTTTCCTAATTATAATAAAAAATAAAAACCCCAGTGGTGATTAAATACCCCCAAAATAAAGCCCTATCTGTCCCCAAAAAAGAGTATAAAATTCATTTCAGTACAGCGTTGCATGACGGAATAAACGTCAGTCAAAGGACTGCAGCGCTGAACACTGAAAAATGGCCTGGCCAGGAAGGGGGTCTAAACACCTGGTCTTGAAGTGGTTAAATATAGGATAGTGTACCTGTGTTCAGGTCTGACCACTCTGTATACAGTACATCACTCCAGCACATTGCAATACCTCCAACCTATGATCAAAGAACTCACCAGAGGGAGTTAATCTTATATGAATTAAATAGGAATTCCACTTATTTTAAAAAGAAGATTAACCTACCTGATCCTCGATCTATTAGCGGTGAGTGCTCACCTCTCTCCCCCCTCTGCTCCAGCTGCGATATTTACCTCGGTGTCCTCACATCTAATGCAGGTGAATGGGCCTGGAATAGCTGTGATGACATCAGCAGGGATTAGACTACCAGAGCACAGGGGAAAAGAGACTGTGGGGACTGGCCTAGCAGCTAGGTGAGATGGAGGATCAGGTTAGTATATCTTTCTTTAGCCCCTAGACCAAAATGAGCAGTTAACTCTTGCAGTGCGGGTGTAGCCCCCCTTCAAGGGTTATTTTTTTTTCATTCCTGGAGTCCCGCTTCAGCACTGGTTAGGTTAATTTCCCCAATTAATTATTTTTGTCTCCCCACTTTTCTTCTCAGGCAATGTGCATAGAATAGAAAAAAAACTCCAGATAGTGTAATACTGCTAAAAGCCTTTATTATACTAAAGGCCAAATAAATTGCACTCATGTTGAATACTTCTGTAAACCACACTTACATAGTTACATAGTTGCATAGTTACAAATACACTTGTTTGTATAAGTATAAGAAGAGGAGAAATCATCTGCTACTGATGTTATTGCATGGCATCTCTCACTTGTCAGATTCTGCATGAGTGTGCTCAGGGCCCTCCCCACAATGCATTTCATCACAGCAGGACTTTATCAGGGGATGGGGGTCACCTGAGTACGTTCCTCCTAAATGATATCCGGCCAGACAAATTAACTACTAATTTACCCTATGATTGCCATAAATCTAAACAATACCATACTAAATATTATGGTCATTATACAGGATTTATATAGCGCCAACAGTTTGCACAGTGCTTTACAAAAGGAGACATTATTATATATTGTTTCTATTTACAGTATTTATTACAGGTATTTATATTGCACTGACAATTTATGCAGCACTTTACATATTGCCCATTCACACCAATTACAATGCACAGTACAGTTACAATACAATCCAAGACTAGAGAGTTATAGCTAAAATCTCCCTATTATAACCCTATATTTACTATATTATTATCAATTTAATAATGCTGTATAAAAACACACAAATAATAATAAAACCTATATACCCTACTACATAAAAGTTACAGTTACAGCTAAATACATTGAAATACAATATCAAATACATACCGATTAAAGCTGTGTGCAAATATGAAATATAGGAAACTCATGCAGATATAAATTATTCAAAATAAACAAAAGGAAAAAAGAGGTATTTATATTAAATGTAACAACAAGAGAATACAAAATTAAGCAATGTATTTCTTGTAGCATAAAGGATATAGTTTATGTTTCACAATGCCTATGAGGGTACTATTATGTCAAGCAGACCTCTAGATCATTGGCAAAAAAATATAGTAAACACATTTATAACATCAAAAGGGGTTATAAAAATCAAAGTGTTTCTTCCCACTTCAGGGAATATCATAAGTCCAGAAGATTTAGAATTTTGGGCTACAGAAAAGGTTAAAACAGGCTAGAGGAGAGGAAATTCGAAACATATAATATCACAAGCAGAAACAAACTGGATATACGCACTTGACACCTTATCCCCCAAAGATCTAAATAGTGATATACATTTAAATTGTGTTATAAGTAACAGTTTAATGGACCTGAATATATGAATAATATCTGCATGCGTTTCCTACATTTTATATTTGACGTACGGTATTAACAATGTTTTTATGGATTTTATATTGTATTTTTATGTATTTAGCTGTAACTCATAATTGTATGTAATGTGACATATAGGTTTATTCTTATGTGTGTTTTTTATACAGTATATGTGTATTGATGGTATTTTTTATTAAGCTGACCATATAATTATGATCATAAGGTAATAATAGGGAGAAATTAGCTATGTTTAGCATTATTAATAGTAGTATTATTTACATGTATGGCAATCATAGAATTCATTAGTAGTGAGCATGTCTGGCCGGGTACTATTTAAGTATGGCATATTTAGGTGGCCCCTTCCCTTGTCAAAGTCCTCTGGTGGAAAAATGGACCAGCCTTAGCACACACATGCAGATAATCCCTGCTAACTGAGAAGAATGCCAGAGTAGGTTGAGGGTCCCAAATGCGGCGACATCACATTGGGCACAAGGGATTTCTCTTCTTCTTAAGCTTTTGCAGACTAGTGTGGTTTAAAGCACTATTCAACATGAGTATGTTTTTTGACCCAAGGCAGCCGAATGAATAACTGAGCCATAACTTTTAGAGGTATTACACTATCTGGAGTTTTTTCATTGATTCAAAGAGAAGAAGACTGGGGACACAGAAAACCCGTGAGAGGTGAAATTAACCTGACAAGCGCTGGAGACAGTAAAAATTTATAATTCATAGTGAGATCAACTCCCTTTCTTTGTGAGCACAGGTATGGGTGATTGCATTGATCTGGAGTGAGGTATACATAGTGTTGACTGAAGACATGTTATGTTATATATTGAAAATACTTTGTTTTGGACTTATCATTTGTTATGTTGTCACTGTTGAGAAATTGTTTTACTACTATTATTATTTTGATGGTACATACAGAACGGACGAGCAGTGAGGGGAGAGAGAGGCACCGGCTGTCAGATCCTGGCCGAGCGTCTCTCTCTCTCCTCACTGCTCTGCATTAGTTAGTGACAGCGGCTCTGTCCTCCGCCCTCCCCCGCCGCTGGTTCCTTCACTTCTTCTCGGATCTCCGCTGGGGAGAGCAGCGGGGATCCAGAGAAGCGGCGGGAGGAGAGGACATGTCGATCTACCAGTGATCGCTACGCGATCAACTGGTAGATCGCGATCGACCTTGTGGGCACCCCTGCTCTAACCTATAGGTTTACATTAATGTATAGTAAATGCACTTGGCTTTATATAGGTTACAATATTGTGTGTACATTTATAACTGTTTTAGTTAGAGATGCACCGATACCGGTATTTCGATATCGAGTACAAGTACCGATATTTTTTTTCCGGTACTCGCCGATACCAAATACCGATACCGGAAGTCCCATTAAGGAAGCCAGGTGGCATGTAATGATTCCCGACCTGGCTTCCTGATTAGCCGGGAAGCTGGGCGGCATGTAAAGACTCGCCTCCCGGGTTCCCGATTATCAGGGAAGCCGTCCCCATGCTTCTCGTCACTAGGTGACGAGAAAGCATGGAGCCGGCTTTCTGGCCAATCAGGAAGCCGGGTG